CTACTTCGGCGAGCCAACCGCAATCCTAGACGGCGGCCGCCCAAAACTCCTCGAAGCCCCGCAAGTCTCCAAGATGTTCTTCATCTCGCCGCCACCCAGCCCCCCACACGGATGGGTCGTGCGTAATGAGGACCCGCCCAACAAGGAAGTCCACGCAACGGACCTGGCACATGCGCTGTCCATGCTGAAGACGGACCAGACCCAGTCTGAGACTTCGGCAATCGACCCCGCAACACCCGTGTCTATCTCCTCCGACAAGCGCACGCCCAGCTGGCCGCTTGCGGGCTCCCAGCAGCGTAGCAGGAGCAGCACTCTCATCTACAACCCCGAGGACCATGGTGGCAGTCCCAATCTTCCGGCTGTCATGGTCGAGGATATGACGATGGGTGTTGAGGATGAGGATGTCGATATGGATGCGATGAGCCCGATTGAGATGTCGGTTAACCAAATGCCTCCTAAGACTTCTCGTCCGCCGGTTGAGTTGATGGAGTAGATTGTTCTCCGGGGATGATGCTTTTTTTGTGTTCTGCATTCTGCATTTTTAGCGAGGCATGGTTGTGTTTTGTTTATAGTCATCTCATCTGTGGCATGCCAGGCGTTGGGAACGGATGGGCATTTCAGCAGCTTTTTCGAATTTGCTAGTTTTTTATTTATTTTCATTATTGCTCTTCGCAGGACTATAGCTAATAAGATATCAAAATAAACACGTCTGATATTCATTATTCATATCTGATCTTTCCTAGTTGGTAGTAGTCAACAGGTTGCATCTGATAATACATACTAATACCCTAGTCCTAGACCGAGCATGTAGTTGTAGAAGCTAGGGCAAGAACGATTTGAAGGTTTCTGCAGCTGTTCTAGTCCGGGGCTGGCTATGGAGTCTACGGGTTGTTCCATGCGGGTTTTCATGCTTGGTTTGTAGCCTAGGGCATTGACTGAGGTTTATACTGTTGTTTCCACTCGCACGAGCGCCCCTTCTATAAGAAGACATTTGGTAGTCTTAGCAAAAATTCCATAATATTTAGTATTTTCAGGTTCACTGAACCAACGAGTAGATATTTGAGATAGAGAGACCAGTCATTCTCTAGGACCAGAAGACCGTCCCCAAGAGCAAAAGATACAAAGAAACGGAAAACTCCAGAGTGCGCCCCAATTCACCAAATCAAAACTCCATTGCGCATGCTCGAGCTCTATTTTTCTTGGGTTATGCACTTTCAGAACCCGTAGCTGCTCTGTCCGTAAGGTGTAGCACCGTACGGTGTCTGTGCACTAGCGCCCCAAGCACTGGCTGCACCGTTTCCGTAGGCAGTCATGTTTCCGTCAATGCCCTCAGGAGGCTCGTAAGCATCGGGATCATTGGCACCCATCATCTCGGCATCTTCGGCACCTCCGCCATGTCCATCCTCGCCCTCGCCCAAGAGGACGGAGACGGTGGTTGCAAGCTTGCGCTGGAGAGACACAATACCCTGCTGGATGATCATGTCTGGCTCAAGGTTTCCAATGCTCTCCACGTCGAAGTAGAAGCAGTTAGGCTCCGCGTCGTAGTCGAAGGGCTGGTCGGGGTTGGCGGCGGGTTCCCAGGCAGCGTTTTCAGAAATAGGCCTGTAAAAGGTCATTGTTAGCAGATAGATTACTTCGGTGGATATCAAATCAATGCTCAAAATACATACCATTCCTTCGCCGCATCCTGCTCATACCAGTAGTCCACATGACGCAGGTTGTTGTTAGGATCATATTCAAAGCCAACAGCAGCAGTAGGAGCCCACTTCGCATGCTCCTTAGCAGTTCCCTTCTTCGCCAGACAAGTCATCTTAATCTCCTGGCCTTTGCGCAGCTTGCAGATCAAGGGACCCTTATTCTCCGGGTCAGTGGTAACAGGATCACCAATCTTATCGTTGATCCGCTCGCCGACGACAATCAAATCCCGCGCGTAGACAGACATGATACCGCTACCGCAGCGCGCGTGCAGAGACAGCGTCACGCTGCAGCGCACACAGTGGTCTTCACAGTCGCAGTCTCGTGTGTACTCGAGGTCTTGGTCGCAGTTGTATGAGTTCAAGGGGATCATTCCGAGGCGGTGGGCGAGGAACTCATCGGGGAGGACTGAGGTGTTGCTTTCGATTTCAATCAAGTCGAGTGCCAGAGTGGGCACTTCGGCGAGGATGGTTCGTCGGAGGGAGTTGGCGAATGCGAGGTCGACTGCGGTCAATCTGAAGTCGACGCGGTAGGGGCTCCGCCTGTGGGATTTGTGAGTTTTTTTTTATATCCTAATACTCTGGGGATTCCTCGGCTTACTTCGCGGACGGTCACTTGGGGCCCTGTGGGCTCGAGATCCATTTCATAATCCATGTTGGTATGTATGCGGCAGCGCTGCTCGCCGCCACCCTTGTCTGGAGCTGGAGGTGTTTATCTGTGGGTCATAAAAGTAAGAGTGCAGGTTGAAGAGTGCGTGGTTCAATGGCGAATGACAGGGTAATGAGAACTGTCGTGGTAGATGATTCGGGCGCGAAGTTGTTGGCTTGAGGGCACGCGGATTTGCTCCCTCCAGGGCTCGGAGGCAGCTTTTTGCGCTTTGCCTAATCGGGTCACACCCTCAGTGAAAAGCCAATATCAAGTCGGTTCATTTTTTTTTTTTTTTTGACATTTACATTTACAGTTATAATAAAATAATTTTGCTTGTCTTCTGTTTCATTCCCTTCTTCTCTTTCTCAGATTAGAGAGTGGAGGAAGCGGTTCAGGTTTGATTCAGTTAGGTATAGACACTTGATCTATCCAAAAGACTGGTATCTAGAACTAAGGGAAGCGCTCGAGTCAAATCTGGCAATTGAAACAGTGCAAGCAATGGATTCAGATAAAATAGTCCGATATCACAGCTGTTAAAGTAAGGTATCCTCCAGTATCAATGCAAAAAGCGTCCCAAAGCCTTCCTGTTTGCAAAAGGCGTCTATCAGAGACAAAGCCAAACACAGGCTCAGATGGTTCATTCACAAATGAAACAGTGGACGGGTAGCAGCAGCCCGTCAAAGATGCAAAAAAGGGTGAAAAGGTAAAAGGTAGACAAAGCCAATAGTAGAAGCGACGAAGCCACCGTTTTTTTTTTTGGAGTTCATGTCGAGTCATTATCAGGAGGTAGCTCTCTTGGAATAGCGATGCACATAAGAGGTAGAAAAATGAGGGGAGAATGTTGGATGTGCAAGAGAACCGGATGTGCAGGCGATAGGGGTTACCGCTTCAACGAGCTGCGATTCAACGCTTCAAGCAGCTCGGGTCGATTTGCGAGGGCGGTGGCAGCTTGTGTATAAGAGACCCATTGGCGTTTCCGCTTGTGCATTTCGGGCCACTCGGTTTCCTCTCGCTCGACGGTGACTTCAAAGAACTGGTACGATGCTTTGGGCGCTTGCACGGTGAGAAGGGCGGAGGGTCTCATGTCCGGGATGAGTCCCAGATCTTTGATCACGATGCAGATGACACCAGCTTCTTCCCAGGCCTCACGACACGCAGCCTGCTCAGCGGTTTTTTCATCCAGCTCCCATCCACCCTTGGGGAGCACCCAGCCTCCGGGTCCTGCGGACTGAATCATGAGGACTTTGGTCTTATCGGCGGAAATAGGGACAACGCCGGCTACCAGTCGCTCGCCTTTTGAGCCGTACCCTATGACAAGCCGTTAGAGTCAGGGAACACAGGGACAGTGTAGACGTAAGGGGGACGGGTTCCCCCCACGTGCGTAGCCGCAAAGCGACATCAGCGAGAACTCACGTTGGTTTTTCCGCCCAACGCGGGCTTCCATCGACCGTATTTGAGCCATTGTAATAGACAATCGAATATCTTTGGAATTACTCCAGGATTGGGGTTTGAAAAGTTCCCAGAGAAGTGAAGAAAGAGAGAAGAACAGTGAGATGGCCAAGGAAATCAGAAAAGGTCAAGGAAAACCCAATAGATGATGCTTTCGCAAGCTCCCTCGGAGCCTTGTTAGGTCTCTGAGGTGAGGGAGAAGAAGCTCCAGGTGTCTTGTGGTGTAGAGAGCGGGAGCACAGGCACGAAAGCGGTCGGGGGAAATTTTTTTTTCTTCTTTGGATATTGCGGAGGTGGGCAATGGATATCAGGTCTTCCCGTTTATGCCTGACGGGGGATTGGAATGGTAGGTGGAAATAGGCATGGTTTTCAAAAGAAGATCTAAGAAATGAGAGGTTATTGAGGAATGGAGAAAAGAAGAGAAGTGGGAATGGAGGGGCACGGCGGCGGCGCAGTCCGGGAGAAGAGTCAAGGTACGGGGGGGTTTTTTTTTTTTTTTTTTTTTACCTTTCATTCTCTTTCATTCTCTTATTATTTTCTTTTCTTCGTTGCATATTTACACATAAATTGTCATTTGTTATACATATACTAGAGTCAGTTTAGTCAATTTAGTCACTATAGTCACTATTAAGAGAGGGTAACCAGTTCAATGACCTGTTTCTCCTTTTTTCGACTCTATATATGGTCATGTGACTCACCATATCGAAGCACTAGATGAGATGTTTCTATATTTGCTATCATCAACTATATTTAGCTATATCCTACCATAATTTACTACATGATCTGGGTTATAATCTGCCATAATTTACTATATAATCTACTATGAGATTACCACTCCAATTAATCCAACCTCACAACCCTCTGAATGTGCGTCGGGTAACGAGCCTCTTAAAACCTACGGGATTTTCTGGTACCGAGAGGGAAGAAACTCGGCCGATTTGACCAGAAACTATAAGATCGGCCCTGTGGCTTAAAGAGATATGAGATACATATACGGAGTACCGTTAAAAAAAAACCATAGACCTAAATAACTAAAAATTATACAAATGTACACATAAATCAAGCCTTAACCCCCCTTGCCGTATAGAACGCGCGATTTACAATCCCCGCCGACTTCGCCAACCTCATCTTTGACTCCCTTCCTCTCTCCCCGTAACTACAACTCACATCCACTCCTTGCTGCACGCCAACACATATTTAATCTCACGATGCAACGGGTTGACGCCGAACGCGCGCGAGAACTGTCGCTGTTCCGCCCACTAGGTACGTCCCACTCTCCCGCAGCGAACCACTGAGATAAACCTCTGTTACCCCGTGGCGCTTCCACTGGCCCAGGCTGCTACCACTTAAGGGAAATTGGCGGGGGGCCCTCAACGCCAATGACCTGCAGGTCTTTGATCGCCCAACCCCTCTTATGCAAAGACTAATGTGATGTGATTCTCTTAGGTTACCAAAAGAACTCGTGTGGTTACTGCAAGTCCAGAGACGGAAGTTTGTTGCCCCTACCCCTGTTCTATTTTTTTTTCCCTTTTCCTTTCAGGGCTAGAAAGCTTAGGGAGGGATGCTGACATGTAAAAGGTGCATCGTACTACGTTCGCTCCGATTCCGTACTCCCAGGACATTATGAAGAACTAATCAATGGCGGTTGGCGACGGTAAGATCCCTCCGGTGGAAATTTCCTTGTAACCCATCAGACCATACTGACATTTTCAGATCGGGAAATCTTTACTACAGACAAAACCTACTTCGGTCTTGTTGTCCTCACTATACTCTGAGACTGGAAGCATCCACTTATCGGCCCCGCCGTGATCAGCGTAAGGCCATCAACAAGTGGAACAAATTTATCCTAGGTCCGGAGTATATGCGAAAGGTAGCCCGGCTTTGTCCACAAACCCGCGAGTATGCAATCTTATATTTGTCAATCCACCATCGGATTATTTGCTAATCAATACATAGAGAGAAAAAGCACCGCAAGTGCAACTTCGACCTTCTGTCAGCTGTCCACCAAAGCGAGTACGGCCACATCAAACGGCCCATTGACCCTGCTACCAAGAATCCCATTGAGCCAGCGCACCGTTTTGAAGTCACCATTGAAGGAGACTCGGTGTCTCAGGCAAAGTTTGAGCTGTTCCGCAAATACCAAACCGCCATCCACAAAGATGATTTCTCTGAGTTGACACCCAGGGCGTTCCAATCCTTCTTATGCTCAGGTATCAAGCGATCTCCGAATCCACTGACAGCCACCAATGCTTCCGAGAAGAAACTCGGCTCATGGCATCAATGCTATCGTCTTGATGGCGAGCTCATTGCTGTTGCAGTATTGGACCTGACCCCCAACGGCGTTAGCTCCGTCTATGTTTTGTAAGCTGATAGCTGACGTTACCCCGAAATACCGAAGTATATGATAAGCTGATATTAGGTACATAGCTATGATCCCGCCTACGAACAATGGGAAATTGGCAAGCTGAGCGCCATGCGTGAAATTGCCTTCTCGATCGAGAATCAGTATCAGTACTACTACATGGGTAGGTCGCAATTGTGGAACTAAACCCCTGCTCACGCACCTCTAACGTCGAAATATAGGGTACTACATTCACTCCTGCCAAAAATGCGATACAAGGCCAATTTCCGCCCCCAGTACATCCTTGGTATGTTCCACTCGTGTCTTTGTCTTAGTACTTCTTTTTGTACTACATGAAAATCGTGCACGGCATCTGACCCTTTTCTTTGTTGCCCAGACCCTGAATCCGGCGACTGGGATCCGCTCGCTGGCGAACTGACGGAGAAGCTTAATTCTCGTTCCTATGTCTCTTTGTCTCGGGACCGGAGATCCTCCCCTGAGCCTGTGGTCCCGGAAATTGACGGGGATGAAGAGGAGGTTTCCCTTTTTGATATGGGTATGCCCGGTATTCTTACTGCCTCCCAGGTGGAAGCACTGGACCTGGGTCATTGGCTGCTGTCCTTTGACAACGGCTTCGTTCATATGAACGTAAGCATTCTTTTTCTTTTTTTTTTTTCTGAGCCGCCTTGAGCGAGAGGAACGTCTTTACTAATTCCAACTAGAATCTGGTCGATTGGGAAACCATGTCAATGACTGAGCCGATGTCTATCAAGAGAATCATCGCCGAGTTGGCCGCAGTCCTGGGCCCTAAAATTGTCCAAAACAGCGCAGTAGACTTGATCGGTTAATTAAAGCCTAAGTTTACTACCACCAAGACCGACTGGGGTTTTAAAACACTAAGAAAGGAGATGGAATAGAAATAGATTAATTGTGTAGAATAGTTGATTCACATGCAATTTAGTCAAGTTAGCAAATCAAGAAAACTAGTCTCTTCTCGTTTCCTTAAATTTTCGATCCCAACGGTGTAACCCTTAGTAGTTGACTTGTTAAGTCTATAAAAGTCTTGCTACCGGGGTTGATGTGACGTGTATACCGCCCAAACTCCAATGTCCAATCGCGCCTTCCTCTTCACGTGTACCTACTTAATTAGGAACCTCTAGTTTAGTATTTAACCCACTCTCGGCAGTAACATATTTTCTCTCTTCTCTCTTCTCTCGCCATCCTAAATATCCATGCCCTTTCACTCGGGCCTTTGGCACCCTAGGAGTCAAAACCCCTTGACCCATACTTCATATCGGTTGGCCCTCAAACGGGAGGTGCTCGGCCAGATTTGATGCACAGGTCCCGCGTGAAAAAGACCCGAATTCCCAGTAAGAGGCACCTTCTAGACATTGATAACTCTCTGCTAACTCTACAAGTACCGGTTCCAATAAGACGGGATTAGGCAGACATTTCCATCTATTGAACGGCTGCTGGAGGCCCTTTTTACTTCAGACAATGATGGAGATATTAAGATAACAGACGTCTCCAGTATGGCCCACATTTATGATGAAGATGGCAGCGATCACAGTTCGATCTCAGTCGTGATAAACCAATCGAAACGGTATTTCATTGGAAATTACTTGCAGGATTCAAGTCCAGTCACCCCTTCTACGCGCTATGAAGATTTCGGTGGTTGGGAGATTTCATCAACAAAAGCACGCCGTTCTTTTCCGACAACCCCACGCTTTGGCTCTGCCATATAGCGAAACAAAGTTATCCCACTCCCAATGCGGTTTTACTGGCTGGCACCTGGACAAATACAAGAGAAACCTCGAGGGACACAAGCGGTGCTTTTGTGGAACTTCGACTAGCCGCTGAACTCAAACATCTCGACCTTCAAGCCATAGACTCGCATTATTGTCACACATTATTGCGATGAGGGAAAGGTGAATCATATGTGAAGAGAGAGAAGGACACATTCTAAGGTTGGGAGCGAAGCCACTGCCCTCAAACGGGCCGTTCTTGAAAAGACCCATGCAGAGCATCAGCTAGTGGAAACAGGTAATGGTCTATTAAGAAATTGTATAATATAGCCCTGCAACCAGAATTGGTGAATATTAAAGCCAAATGTGGGCGTGATGGTGAGCTTGGTTCGAGGCTACGACCTGAAAGGCAATCAACTAGCGTTTCCGGTAAATGAACACTTTATTCCTAACATAATGACAACCTAGAGCCCGGTAGATCACTATAATTCCTGGTTTAATACCTCAGGCCCTACAGTTAGTTGTGGGCGTGCAGAACTACTAGGCTTGCTTGCCCATAGTAGGTAATACATTAAATCGACAGGTTAGGGAATTCCTATGCTTCCTTTGCAGTCCAGACTGAAAGTCGACTTTGCACCAGTAACATGATATCCAGTCTATTAGACCAATCATACAAAAATCGCAATATTTCTTCTCCTGAGCCGGAATAGCCGACAAGCACCAAAAATAATACACCGTATAACGCAGGAACAGCGCAAAGCACAACAGTATAATCTAACGTATCGCAAGCGAAATTTAGACCGAACTGTTGCCGTTGACACATGCCTTAAAGAGGATGCTTATGAACAGCAACCAATCCTATCAAATCCTAGAATTCGTGATGGAGTGGTACACTATCTCTTGATACAACGCCGCATACATGAAACTAAACTGTAAAGTCATACTTGAGGGCAGGATGGGGTAGCACCAGTGATACCGTAGTGATTGGTCATTTTTGTGTTGGTAGTTTTTATAGCCTTGGACGCTATCAGTCGCTTTGGCTTTTTTTTATGTGTCTTCCTAGATGCACATGTATATAAGTAGTTAATCGAAGTTTGACATGGATCTAGTTCACATGGTAGAGCAATTTCAGTTTCAAAGGCTAACAGAATTTAGAAAATGAAGTGTCTGTTTCTGGATAACCTATATAGTACCTGAGAAGCTTAATTGACATACCCAATGAGCCAAATTATAATGCATGCTCTTGATAACGTTGATAGCATTGGTATATGCATATAAGGAATAATAACAGTAATGTAGGCATGATTGCGTACCAGAAGTCTCTACGATTGGACGATATCAAGTATTCAGCCGATTAACATGCCGTCTAAAATTAAACATGTAGCTTGTGAGACATATTTGCGGTTCTTTCGAGGGGAGACGGTCGAGCTCCGTATAAACTCTTGGGCTCAAATCTATCTTTCAAATCTATCTAGTCACCTACTGAACACAATATGCACATCTTCCAAGTCCTCTATAAATATCTGGAGCATGTCTTCCTATATATCAACCAATTCGTATTAGAGACCTTAGCCCAAGGTCCCATCCCACAACATGTAGCATTCATAATGGATGGAAATCGACGCTATGCAAAAGATAAGTCGATTTCCATCGCAGCTGGTTATTTAGCCGGCGCAAAAGCTCTAGTGAAGGTAAATTATCATTTTAAAAATTCCAAGCTATCAACTATTGAGATAGCTAACACAAACAGATTTTGGATACATGCTTCGATTGCGGAATAAATGTTATATCCCTCTACGCCTTCAGCCTTGAAAACTTCAACAGACCGAAAGAGCAGGTCGATGTTCTTATGAAGTTGCTAGAAGGGACACTTGGAGAAATGGGTGAGCATGACCCATTGGTGAAGAAACACAATCTTAGAATCCGGGTGTTGGGTCGTTTGGAATTGCTAGAAGACCACGTTCTAAGGGCTATTTCCAAAACTATGAATGCTACCAAAAATAACCGGGGTAAGACTGTGAATATCTGTGTCGCTTATACTGGCAGGGATGAGATTGCATCTTCTATCAGGGAAACAGTTTCTGGTTCTGGTTTCCCTAGCAAGATAACAGCCAAGTCTTTGACGGAGAATATGTTTATGGGGTTTCCGCCGCTGGATCTTCTGATACGTACGTCGGGGGTCTATCGTTTGAGTGATTTTATGCTCTGGCAGTGTCACCAAGAGACTGATATAGAGGTTGTGGAGATGAACTGGCCTGACTTTGGAAGATGGGATATAGGTTTGATTTTGTTGAGATGGCAAAGCAGAAAAAAGGCTCTGGCTGACGTGTGATTTGAGCTGTTTTATATTTGGATTATGCGAGGCCAGTATATCAGTCTCTCTATTTTCGTGGTATCTTCTACAAGCCATGCTCGGGCCCAAGACTTCTGTTCAAGTATGCTAACATCAAATGTATTTATAAAGGACTGCGGTATTGACGGAACGTCTCCAGTGTCGAAGCCCCATGCAACATATTTTGCAATAGCGTAGGATAGTCCCACCCACACCCTGTCGCTGCCATAGCAGTCAGACTAGCCTGATCCTCGCGACCTGGTCGACCAGGACCAGTCATGTTCTAGCACTCGAGGTCAGCGTATGAATTAAAGTCACCATTCAAATAAAGACACATACGGGTTTCATATTGACATCGAAAATAGCAAATTTCGACCCATGTCGGAATCGTCGGACGTCAATGCGGATGGGAGCCGTTGCCTTGATGAGACTTGCCACCTCTTCGCATTGACGCATCACCTCCTCATAAGATTGATCTCGCATCTCTTCCTTGGTGACTACGCGCGAGTTGGCAGTAACAGCCACTGTGCCATTGTACGGTGCGATACCTTGGTCGTGGTTGAATCGGGCCACAGGAGGCATGCTCCAATACTCCGCTCGGTCGAGGGATGGGGGCATCACGGTGATTGTGGCTTCCTCGCCAGATAGAAATTCCTCTAGTAGGACCACGGGTGACTCTCTGAACAGGGATTCTATATGGCTTTTCAGCTCAGAAGGAGTATGGCAGACTTGCACGCCGTGACTCCCGCGACCACGAACCGGTTTTCCGACAACGGGGTAGTTGGGGATTGACTGAAGTAGGACATTTAAGTCATCTCCTTCATTTACAACCCACGATTGAGGTAAGGTAAAACTTCCTTGCTGACGCAGTTTATCGTTCAAGTACATCTTGTCATCGAACTTCTCCACCAGACCCGGTGGTTGGCCTACAACCCGTAGAGTCGGAGCATAGCTATCCAGACAGGATGCTGTCTGGAGAGGGTGGGAAGAAAACACGATCGTATTCGCCCACAAGTGTGTGGCTCCTTGGGTTACTGCAGAATATATCCCCTCTTCCGAATCTGGGAAACACCAACCCTCATGCTGGGCAATGGAAGGGGAGGGCTGGGGCGTGATGACTTCGATTCCCTTGGAACGTAGAGTGTATGCAATATCTGCACCTGAATCCTGGTATCCTGTGGCAATTCAGCACTAGCAACTATCGTCCAGAGAAATGTTTCATGGTATCTTACCGCCTGGTTTGCGTGGTTTGCGAACTCCATTGATTATAGGGGGGTCAATTGCTTGGAATAATACTGCGACTATAGGTCTGCTAGAAGAGGTATTCCATTGCGATCTTTGGATGCCCCCTATGGACTGTGCGGCTTTCAACATGGCGAGACAATTGAAAGAGTTGTAGATTTGGAATGAAGCTATCTGTTGGCATAACTCGCGCCCCAAGCCGGGTGGCTCCGAGTGTGGGGTCCACGGGTGACTCCTCGGACCGATCCGCCTTATCTGGGCATGGATATCAAGTACCTAGGTACATACGTAGATCTAGTCACCCATAGTGTTTCAAGCTATGGATTCATAGCAAAGCCCAGAAGTTCTCCCAATTCCATCTTGTCTTTGAGAAAGAAAAAGCCAAGAGATGGTAATACAGATTGCCTAACTAGGCTACCTTTGTGCAGAACCTCTTGATAGAAGGGTGGAGTAATGTATGACTCTAAACTGACAGCCGACTACGCATATGATACACTTTTGATATTATGTATGAGGGTCTGTCGATTTTCCAAGTTTCGCTAGTATTGCTATTGTATTTCTATCATGTACGGAGTCCTCCGTGCAGGCAGTGGATATAACCTTCCAAGGTTGGAAATAATTCCACTGCCCCACGTGGGCACACACCTTAAATTACATAATATTCTGCACGGTTTGCACTCGACGAAACAGTCATCCTGGCCAAAGCAGATTTGTACGAGAATGAGGGCTGTGACCCGGGACATGAGCGTCCTATGCATCTATCTTATCCGCGCTTGTGGGGGGGGGGTTGCCAGTTCATGCGCATTCCCGTACACTGGGCAGGTTCGCGTACAAGGAATCAAGAAATTGACGGCGAGTGGTTGAGTTGTCGAAGAGCGGGTTGGCCGTCACCGGGGGTACTGCCTTACGATAGACCTGGAAGATTCTTTGTTGATGGGGACTTTTCCCCGTGAGAATCACCAACGAAGGGGGAAATCCAACGATTTTGTTTCAAACAGGAGTTTATTAATGGGTAAAAAAAGGAAATCTAGGATTTACACTCGATGGAAGTGTAGAGACAAGAATACTCGGCGACTTATGGGGCCTTGTCAGGTCCTTTTGTTGGACATTTTGGATGTTCTTTGGCCTTTAGAAAATCTTTTACTATGTCATTTGCTAGGAGTGAGAAATATGTGACTATGCCTTTTAGGTACTGTGATCACGTAGTATTATTCAGGTCTTTGTTTGCTGTCTCGCTGCAATAAAACCTATATATACGTCCTTCTCCCCCTCTTTCTCGCTCGCTCCTCTCTTCCTTATATACAGAATTCGCCCAAGCAACGATGGAATAGACTACGTTGAAAATATCCTTACAAAAGGCCTGACATGTCTCGCTATATGTATATATATGGTCATGACTATCGTTTCTCCTGTGCTCCTTCACTCATTGCCTCGGATCCACGGTATATAAAAAAGATATAATGTAAGTACCCAGGCATCCATGGCGTGCCAAATTGCGCCTACTATATCTATAATACCGTGGAATCTAACGATTACACTATACGGGCATTGTAAGTACAAAAGGCCTTGCTTTCTTAATTTCTTTCTTGCTTTGCTCATCTCCCTCCAGATAAATATCTAAAACATCAGTCACTTGTTTGTTTAACAGGCTTGAATAAAGCTAACCAAGACAAGCTCGCTGGGGTTATGCAGTTGATACCCGAGGATGACCTCAAAGATTATTTGAAACACTACTTTAGAAACAATATCCTGGCCAACTCCGATGTCGAAATTCGGTCGCCATGCCAATTGCTCCTTTGCTCTATCTTTACACAGGGCGCACACCGAGATAGCATAATCAATATTCATGTCCTTGTCGTCCTAGCATTCTGATCTGGTTGCCCACAGTATTGCGGATGAAGCAACCAAACGCAATCTCCCCGAAGGTCATGACACCTACTGTGACCCAAGAGGTGGGATTTCAGTAATTTTGATATCTACAACAAACCCCAAGTTCAGAACGAAGCCGAAAATACAGCTCTCATATACCGATCCGCCTTCAAAGACCGGGGACCCCATGGTATTGTGGATTACAAGGAGCCGGGGGCTTCATGGTACATTCCAAAATGGGCCCTCGTCTATGTTTCATCATGACCAGAGCACAGGGCTCGTCCCATGGGAGCAACAGAATCAGGCCCCGATAACGGCCATTAGATACCACCTCCCAACGGGACAAAGTTGACCGATGAAGGAGTCTATATGGCGACAAAATACCCCCAAGCCATCGAAAGAACCAACCGCTGGCCTGTTGATTTTGACCGCGATGGTCATATCTGCGCAGCATGATCGGAGAACAGCTTGATCCACCTACTCAAAACACCTGGCTATACAATCGAATGCGCTGATATAACCGACAAAATAAGCCTCATCAGTTTGAAAAAGTACCGCCTATGGGATGCACATCCAGGGGGACCAGATGCGAACTCTAGTCTACCTTAGTCCACCGCTGAAAGGCTTCACATCGGCGCAAAATTCGGCGTTATCCACGGCTGGGGTATATCGCAGCCAGTCCCAGCAGTCGTTATTCGGATGCGCTTGCGTGATATCTGTATTTTATAGAGCAAGAACGGGGTATATCGGGGCTCCTTTGCTGAGTGATTGCGATTATAATTCCCATCCCGAGGGCCCAAGAGCGTTCCTTTGGTCTTTGGGTCAACCATGCTTCTCAAAGCAACTGAGACTTTCGAAGAAGAGATATTGCCCACACGACCTGTGGTTTTTCTCTCGAATTGTTTGACAGACGAAGAGGCGCGGAGAATCCAGGATATTATGTTCGTGCACGCCACCCTTCCAAGGCAAAGTCCGGTATTTCCAGGAAATCCACCTCTGGCGCTCGACTCCCACAAAGATTCTCCGTCATCTGATTAGTTTGGCAAGCCGAATCCGGAGGGATATGCACACCTTGGGACATCTTGTCAATTTGAACCATGCGGATCAGACTTGTTAGGTGGCATGGCCAACCAAGCCAGTATGGCTGATGATCAGTTGCAATTTCTATTTTTATATCTATTTATATGCTTATTATACACGTATATACGAGGTACTATCAGCCAGATGTACATGAAGCGTTGGCTCGATGTGCACCCTGCAATGGGCGATTCGTGTTCAATAAATTATAACGGCACAACTTTCTGGAAGTAGGTGCTAAGCAGAGCTTTTGCGCCTATAAACACTGTATCGGCACTGTGTGGGAGGGGTCGAAATACTGCCGAAAGCACTTCCATACCTGGAATCCAGGCTTCTCCGATGAAGAAGAAAGGAAAGAGATCAAAAAAACTGTTCGAAAAAGCGAGGCTGGCCCAATGGCACCCCGAGACAGGGACAATAGCCGAAATCATAAGAAGGATTGAGAGTCAACCTAAGATCCCCGCTTCACAAGTGGCTAACATCGACCTGGAATGTACTTTCTTTTCCCGGGAGGTGCTACAAATCGACATAGCTGACATGGAAGAGAACAACGTGATTGGTTATTTCCCTTGGTATAGCAAGGGCATAGTGGCATCTTTCTCTTTGGCCCTTCCTCCACAGCCAACTTGGCACTAAAAGGCACAAAAAGCAGAATGCCAGAGCCTATTTTACACAGTATGGGATTCTGGTTGCAAAGGATGCGGTTACAAAACTCCAAGAAGTGCATTTCGAAGAATACAATATTCCTCTCTTGCTGGTCATGGGAATTCGACCTGCCGCTTTCTTTGAATGAGAATTGCCTTGGTTGAACCCAGCAACTCTATCTTGGCTCTATCTAGGGCTGTCTATATAGCTATGGGATATCAGGCTAGTTCTATGAATCTTGATGTTGGGCTAAAATAGGAGGGGTATCAGTGAAAGAAGGGAAAAAGCAGGAACAAATAGAAGATCTAGTTTGCATTTATATCTGGAAGTGTAGGAAACAAGAGTAGTCGGCCATGTGCTCCAGGCCTGTTCTTACCGATGTAGGACGTTGGTAGTATGATTTATCCAACTCAAGATGCTATTAGGGACTTTATATGTAAGAAGATAACAAGCCGATGTTTCCTTTGGATGGGTTTTCTGGATGTCCTTTTTTCTGCGTCTTAGATATCTTTTTACGTTTCATTGGAGATTTCTTTTTGATATACATATAAAGGTATGAAGTGTAAACGGTACAGAAGACTTGTCTATGTATAATCAAGGACTTATATATGAAAGTTGCATAAGAACAATGACTATGAACAGCAAAAAGATTCATTCATACATCCACAAAAGAACCCCATAACTGCACGGCGCCATGAAGTGAAATCAAACCAGCTGGCGCCACATATTTCTATCCCTTTTCCTCGCAAAAACCTATTCGCCACGAAAGTCAAGCGCAAAACAAAAAAGGACAAAAGCAGTCATTCAAAGAGGCACAGCAGGTAAACCACCAATTCCCACGAAAAAGCCCGCAGCCGCGGATGCCCTGCCACATATGCCCTAGAACGCCAGAGAGGAGAGACAAAAAGAGGGAGAGACAAAAGAACCCAACCAAAGGATGCTATGCCAAGACAAAGAAATGAGGCCAAAAGGAAGAAAAAGGACAATAAGATCAAGAATTCTCATCTCAGACCTTCACTCATCGTCATCACTCCCTTCCAACCCATCAATCATAGCCCGGCTGGGCTTCCTCCCTGCCCCATAAACAAGCTCCATAAGTTTCGCTTTCTGTCTCTCCCGAACAGTCCGCAGGTAATCATACGTCCCTTCCAACCCGCGGATCTGTCCATCGATAACAGCTTCAACGGGCCCAAGCATTCGGCCCGGAGAACCGGAATTCCCATTCCCACTCCCGCTCCCATCAACTGACCCGACGAAACTGACAGAGTCATTTCGACGCACAAGTGGGCTAACTAGCTTCCTGCGCAACGTCTCAAGATTAACCTTCAGCGTGAGTAGTCGGCCGCGGTGGTCAACGAGGAGATGTTTATTCGCGACTGTGCGACTGCGCACATTCGCGAGGAGTTTCTTGTTCTTCTCATATTTGCGAACGGCCGCGGCATCCGGCCCCAGCACACGCGTCCATAGGGAAGAGAGCATCTCGCCCTCTGCGCGTTCCTGGGCGTCTGATTCGCGGACAACTGTGCGCTGGAGATTGAGGAATTGGCGGTCGATAGACTCGAAGAGCGCGAAGAGCGCGGTTGAGTGGGTGAGTTCGCTGTTTATTGATTCTTCGAGGACGGCAAGGAACTCCGTGAATGTGCGGGTTAGGGTTGTGCGTGTGCGCTGCGCGGAGGTTGGCCCGAAGACAGCCATTACGAGGTGACCAAGGGGTGTCGTTGTTGTGGAGGTTGCGGAGACACCGTTGTCGGAAACTTGGGCTGAGCGTTCGAGCGCGCCGAGCCGCGAGAGCATGTTGTGCATGTTGTCGAAGACTATTGTAGGGAGGGTGCTTGGGGGCTGGGCGGAGAGGGTTTCGAGCTCGCGCTTGGCCCAGTCCATTACTATTAGGATGGAGTCGATGTCTGAGTCGACGTTGGCGAAAAAGCGGGTTAGCTCGAGGGAGAGGGACTTGAGGGAGTCGGAGAGCTCGTCTAGTTGGCGCACTATTATGGGTGCGCTGGTCATGTTGGTGCCGCGGACGGACTCGCTCAAGTCCCAGACTGCGACGCCGGTTTCTTGCAGGGTGCCGATTTGCTGAACACCGTTCTCTGAATAGTATATCAGTGGTTCGAAGGAGCGCGCAAAGCCGGATAGCTTTACTAGATCGGGGATCGACTGTGGGAGGCCTGGGAGGACTAGGGCGCGCATGAATGCGACTGAAAGGAGGAGGATTATGATAGATAAGGTGGTGTTAGACTTGGAGCTGGTCATGCGCTCGAACTTTGAGCGCAGATAGCCAAACAACGCGGCAATAGGTTCTCGGTGCTGGACTTCTGCACGCACTGCAAAGCGAATGTCTTTATTCATTCACAACAATCGTTAGTATACCCGCGCCTGCAACTGAAACCAGATCAGACAGGGCCTACAGTTGCTCAGATTCTCCGCGCCAAAGCCCACCCCGTCGTCCTCGGGACTGTGGCGTGGTGTGCGCCCTGTAGTCGGAGCCGGAGGCGGACTTGGGGATCGTCCGTGGAGGGGGGTATCTGCACCCGCCGGTAGAGGCACATTAGCCGCGACAGAGATGTCGCCCGGGCTGGCGCGATCGACCTGTCTACTCTTCGTGGGACCCTCGAGCGCATCCTCATACTGTGGACTTGGTTCACGCGACTGGGACGGAGAGGCGCTGAGCCCGACTGTGGGCTTGAGCTGCAAGCGATCCGTAGGGGGGGTTATCCTTGCGCAGATAGGGCTGGTGGCGGTACCATCCACTGCCCTGAATGTATTCGGGTTGATGGAAGCCTGGGGGTGACCAGCGCTCCTGCGCCGGGTCCTCGATTTCTCCATCTTCCCCATCCGAGTCTTCAGACCGGAATCCGGAGTGTTGGGAGGGCAGCGCGAACATTGGGGACCTGTGGGGGTTGGTATTGTTCTCGAAGTCTTCGAGCGACGCGTCCAGGGATGGATGGTCGTCGAAGACGTTGTCTAACTCGTCCAGCATCCCGGACGGTGTATCGCGATAGTCGCGCCTCGGAAGAAGAGGCACTGCAGGTCTCAGCGACGAAGCGCAGATCAATGCCTATGAGTGGCGATCACTGGCGGATGAACCGGTTTAACTCTTTAGGTAAAACTAGGGTAGTTAGTATATGCGCTGGGACGGTGTCTCCCTGCGCTAGCCGTTACAGAAGAGATCTGAGCAATTAACCCCACGCCAAAGATGCGATAAGGTATGATGCGATGCGATGCGACAAGGCAGGTATTGGATTCTAAAGTGCAACACAAGATATGTCTGAGATAGGCACATTCGATAGTTGATGTTGGACAAGATTGCGATCAGGAAACACGCTGGGAGATTAATATAGAACTGGGATCGAAACGCCTCGTTGAGCAATGGAGGAATCAGGAATGAGAAGATGAGAAGGCATGCGTCCCCTCACTTGTATCCAAGTCGAGGAGGTTGGGCCAATCAGCCTGATCCCTGCTGGGTCATGTGCTGAAACTCGAAGCCAACACGGCGTGTACACATCAGATACCGGACAATGTACAAGGGTGGTACTGCAGGAGTACTTCCAGTTTGTATAGTCCCTGCAATAACCTCCAAGGTCCTCATCAAGTACTTTTCAAGTATCTCCGTGCCTGACCGCCCATGTTTGCCCAATCGATACAGCTAGAACCATCAACCAATCATAAGACAGACCTCCTTGATCATCCGAAGAATCTCAAACACTTGGGAATAAGCGTGCATAAACCCTCCCGTTTGCAGTTCGTTTGTTCTATCAAATATCAAATATCAAACCAAAATGAAGAAGAGGAGAAGATCAAATCTATTTTGGGTCATGGAAATTGTAATAAAAATACAGGCCCGGTCCCTTGGGACACCCGGTAATCAGGCCATGGCGCCATAATCCCAGACTTCTATGGGGAGAAACAGAAAAAAAGCCGGGGAATAAAAAAGAACATCAGGTCGTTTATGCGGTGTTATCCTTGAGCCAACTATGTGGTGTGTTAGTTCAGAGGTCAGGGGGTGTGGGTTCGCGGGTGCGGGTAACGTACGTGATGAGATCGTTGCGCTCCTTGGTCTTCTTGAGACCACCGAAGGCCATCTTGGTACCGGGGATGAACTTCTTGGGGTTCTCGAGGTAGGAGAACTATGGGGACATCGTTAGCGGCCGATCGGAGCGGAGCTAAAAGTTGTAGTTGGCACTTACCAGAGTGTCCTCGTTCCACTCAACACCGGCCTGCTTGTTGGCGTCGGTGTAGGCGTAACCCTCGGAAGAGCCAGTCTTACGGCCGAAGAGACCGTGGAGGTTGGGGCCGACCTTGTGGGCACCGCCGGCCTCGGTGGTGTGGCACTGGGCGCAACGGGTCTGAAAAAAGAGCTGTTAGTTTCATGTTCCCTTTGTATGCGCGTGAAGTAACAAAGAACTTACCTGGAAGAGCTTAGCACCCTTGGCGGCGTCACCTGGAGAGAAGCTGATATTAGCGATCCTGTCGGCTTCTTTTTTGGCTTCTTCAATCAAGGCAGCTTCTGCACGCTCGGCCTCGCGCATGTCGATGATCGTCAACGTGCAGAACACATCGAAAGTAGTCATGTTGAATAACTGATGCGTAATACTTTGAGAAAAGGTTGCGGTGATCCGCAATTGAGAGGTAGTTAGGTTGAGGCGCCAATGGTAGTCAAGGCGAGGAATTGTTGTCAATCGTCGTCCCAAGCAGGTAACAGTGTTGCCATTGTGTTGCCATTTAGGAGTTGGAATACCCTTCCTTCCTTCAACCTCGATGGCACCTCCCCAACCTCCTTTCAGCTCAATGGGGGAAGGTAGATAGCTTACCAGGAGCGAAAGATTCTTGCTTCTTAGGAGGCATTGTGAAGTATTATGAGAGAATAATAAAAAGAGGTTATTATGACACTGTACTGTACAGAAAAAACTGGGAAGGGGAGAGAAGAAAATCTGGTTATTTGTACTTGGCCCCGACACGCTCTCTCGTAATCTGCCGCTCCGCCAATCAGAAGCCAGATGATTCAGGTGAACGGGCGCAACCGGGAACTTCGGTGTGGCTGTTGTACACTGACGACTTACACTTTCGCTTTGTTCTCTTTACTTTTCTTGAAATATGCTGGGAACAATTACTGACTTGTGGCAAAGAACGTGTACAAGAGTGTACACTCTACGTTCTATCTTCCGCCCCTATGATCTCATAACTCATCATCACTTGGGTAGCTTAGAACATCCATGGTTCCTGACTAACTCGCTTGTGTGTGCATATTCAAAGCTTCATGGAGCTTTACAAACTGAAACATTCAATTCCTATCTGGATGCCCATGGCGACCGAGCTCATATCTCACGCGCGTTTACCCCCTTCCTTCCCCCCTGGAGAACTGGAGCAACTTCCCGATCCACCGTGGCTTCGAAATGGCAGGGTTCTCATTCGCCCAAGCTGATCCTCCCCGGTGGTCCGATGTGTGGATCCTGAGGCAGAAACGGTTTATTTTCGATTCATTCTCGGCGATTGCAATTTAGCCTGTTGCCGAGGTTGCAGTAAAATTGGGACTATGACCTTTCATTAGGTTAGTTTATGTAGTTAGAAACGATTCTGACTACGAAGTACTCTGTACAGCTTAGAGCTATTCTCAGACCATTTCAATTGGTGGGAAAGACGGGAAAGAATGGATACTAAAACACGTGAATGTTTCCCAAGGTCAAGTGGTCTGATAATTTTTTTTCTTCCCGAAATCGTTAGGGGTATGCGGTTGAACCGGGTGAGAGAGCATCTCGACTCAATCGGCATCCGATGTCCCGATATGGTCACGTGATATAAAACCTTCTCCAAAAATTGCATCTACGGTTCCACATCTAGATCAAGTCAACAAGACCATCCAGCCCCTCCACACAAGCAAAAGGGTAGAAAAGAACACTCTCAAACATGCCAAATCCAATCCCCGGTTTCCTCCTCCCACGAGGCCCACCCTCAGCATTGACCCTGCGCGCCCTCCAACGCCAAAGCGCGCGACGTAGCTTCACCTCAACCAGCGCCGCGTTGAAGAAAGCCAGCAAAACCAACACCAATGCCAATTCCAAGCCCCGCGTCCTCGCAAAGCCCGATAGATTCCGCCCGCCTTCTCATCCCCAGCGTCTGACGACTCCATCTCCCAAGAACGCACCCCCAGGCCAACCATTCGAGTATGGCCCGCGCACGACGGAGAAAGAGCGCGTGCAGCAGAGCAAGACGCAGTACCCGGGAATGTTCCCGCCGGAGGGGACAGTGATGTTCAAGTTCCTGACGAGCAAGTGGATCCACATTTGGATTGCGATGGTGAGTTCCCGACTAGCAAAGAGCCAAGCTCTGGATCTACCCAAAATCTCCAAGAACCAAGTAAACAAGTAACTAACCAATACACAGAGCGTCTTGATCTCCTGCGCGGGATTCACCTTCACAACAAACTTCAAAGCAACCTCACCATTCGCACACCTGCTACCATCCTGGTCGGGTCTGCTGACATCGCCCGTCGGCACGATCTCACAGGCTTTATCTGTGTGGCGCATGCATGTGGAACACAACTCGATGCGCGTGCGGGAGCAACGGCACCGTCGCGTTGAGGACGCCGAGAAGAGGAAGCAGTATCGTGTTGCGCATGGGCTTGAGGAGGCGGAGCCTGAGAAGAAGAACGATGACAGTAACGAGGTTGATTTGCAGTCGCCTATTGCTGCCGTTGAGGGCGCGGGGGAGAAGGAGTTTGTTGATTGGGAGGGAAATAAGAGGCCTGTTAAGAAGTGGTTGGGGATTTGGTGATTTATAGGCTCCAGGGCTGGTAAATTCATATCTACAGGTGATATAGCTGCGCATCTACCTATGTAGGTATGGTATAGGCTACATATGCTGTCTATGTGGTTTGGCTGTGGGTTTGTATTGATGGACCCTTCGCTACATACATAAAGCGCACCTACCAACACCCCTCCAACAGTGACGTTGGTGTAAATGGAGTTCAATCCATTTTTGTACATTAGTGGACTTTCAATCCAGCTACCATAGGAGGATTCTCTCAACTTCAATCAAATCAACGATGAACAGAAACGATTTAATCAAAAGACAACGCTTTTCTCCAAACTCCAGAAGTAGCGACCTATCAACTCAGATATCAAAGTCGCAACCTAAAGTAATGCTGTACTTTATTACTCATACATGGCCATGAGAAATGTATCAAAATAGGACAATTATTGCACCTCAACTCCCTCAAGTCCCTCAAGGACCTCCTCGCCAACACCGCCCTTACTAAGGACAGTCTTAACCATACGTGCAATGACACTGCGCTTGACACCACCCCTTCGGGGGCGCCAGACACCCTCGACCTCCTCCTGACCACCAGTCTCTTCGCCAGGCGCCGCAGTAGCACCAAGCATATTCACATTTTCGGAATTGGGGATACCAGGCTGAGTGAGGCGGGAGGGAGGATCGATCGAGCGGATCGAGAGCAATTTCAAGGTCTCCGAGTCACTACTGCGCGTAACTGAGATGGCCAGCACTGCATCCGCAACGGCGATTTCTTCACGGTTAGGATCGAAGATGACGTTGTCACCGACGGAGATCACGAGCAGCGTTACAGGTGGGCGGACGGGGTATGATGGAGCGGCAGAGAGAGGAGACTTGGAAGTATTGGAGCGGGGGTAGAGATACTCCGCAGCAGCCCAGTCATCGTCGAAGAAGGGGTCTTCTTCACCCTTGGACTTGAGTTTTGGTAGCTTAGTGCTGAGGAGGGCGAGGTGGGTTGTGAGCGAGAGGAGGGGGAGGGGGTATGCGAGAGGTTGGGAGAGGAGCAGGACCTGGAGAATAACATGTTAGCAATGATCATTTCACACCCTCAGAACCCTTCAAAAATAGAAACCAGAAATCCAAAAAAAAAAAAAAAACAGAAAGCGATCTTCAAAACTTACATCAATATACAAGCGCCAATGCCACCGCTTGTTAATAACAAGTCTCCCCTTCAACCCACCGGCCATCTCC